GGCCGCCTGCCACCTGCCACTCCTCCTGCCACCTGCCTGCCAGCCACCCTGCCAATCACCTGCTGGCCACCTGCCAACCGCTCCCCGCTGCTCCCACCAGTTGCCCTGCCGGCCACTGCTGCTGGCCTTGCGATGAATTTGGCTCTGGACCAAACCTAGTCATTTCAGCTTCTCAGTGATTTCAGCTCTTGGCCCACAGCATTGTCCAGCTGAGAGATTCCAGCCGCCACTGGAATAACACTTTAAAATAATAAAGAGACTCCTTATGGAGTCTGTTTTAGTTCTATCATTGTGTGTGGGAGGGGGACAGGTTGAACCAGTCAACCTGGTTGGGTGGGGGGAGCTTTGCCTCAGGGAAGGGATACAAAGTGGTTTCTTCCTGTGAAAAGGGTTTATTTTCTATTTTTAGACGCACTGGGTGGTGGCAGTGATCAGTCTTTTTCTTTTTGGCTCTCAAGGAAACTGAGACTGGACAAGTTTGTCTCTGGGAGTTACAGAGACAGGTTCTTACAGAGGTTATTCTGTTAGCCGGCCCCCATCTCTACGCTCGAAGTGCCAGGTGGGGGAATTGAGCGGTGTCAAGCTTCTACAAAAGAAGGCAGAGACCTGACTTCCTTGCAGTAACTCAGGGCATGTCTACCGTAGGGAGTTCTTTAGAAATAAGTTATTTCAAAAGACTCACTCCAGAAAAAATAACCGATTTTGCAATAGCGCTATTCCGCTTCCCAAGCAGTTATTATTTTAAAATAACAAGCCCATTCCTTTGAAATAACGGGCTCGGCGGGGTGGAAGCTTGCCTTGCTATTTCGAAATCACTCCTTAGCGTGGACATGCCCTAGAGGCCTTCCTGGAGAGAAAATATCAGGGATGTAAAGGCTGCTTAATGTTGCAGAACAAGACCAGTGGCTGGAAGGTGGAAACAGACAACTCCAGATTAGAAATAAGGCACAGCTATTTCACGGTGACGATCATTCACTATTGACAGAAATTGCCAAAGCAAGTGATGGATTCTTCATTTCTTGGTGCCCTCTCATGCAGACTCGATGCCTTCCTGGTGTTGCCCGGGTCAGAACTTAGCTCCAGCGGGCTGGGACAGGCAGGGGTCAGATTTGATGCTCTAATGGTCCCTTCTGGCCTTAAACTCTACTAATTACTGAAAAGCTGAGCGCGGCCGAAGGAGCAGCCTCTGGGGCAGACTCAGCTGCCAGTCCCTGGGGTGATCCCCAAGAAACCGCTCAAACATCCACAGAGGCTGGCCAGAGCCAGGACACCAGCCTTTTGGGGTGTGGGGGTGTGGCAGTGACATCACAAAGGCCTGTGGCAGGACCGCACCCTATTGGGGGACAGCAGTGGGTCGGTGGTGACCTCACAGAGCAAGGGGGGGGCAATCATTTTTGACCGGGGGTCACTTTGGAAATGTTTTAAGTGGCCCTGGGCCGCCCTGGAAGGGGCGGAGCCTCTGGGGGAAGGGGCGGGGCCAGGGCTGTTCTATGCTACCCCATCCATAGACCCTGATTGGTCTGAGGGTGGGGGAATATGCAAAGTCTTTCCCCCCACCCCCTGGAGAGAACCGCCAGTTCTGAACAGCTGGCAGGGGCCCTGGAGGTGGGCGGAGACGCCGCGTGCTGCCCCCTGCTGCCCTCCCACCTTGCCAGGAGTGCAGGGTGGAAGGAGACTTTGCGCGCATCCCGCCACCCCGATTGGCCTGGGGACGGGGGAGCGGCAGGGCGTGGGCCGAATCAACCCGCTTGGCAGACCAGATGTGACCCCCGGAAGCCCTCTGCCCACCGCTGTCATAGGGAGACCCGACATCAGCCAAGCCGGATAGCGGCTCAAGGCAGGGAGCCACCTCAGAGATTCCTGCGGCTCCGCAGCAGCGAGGCTCCTCAGGGTCTCTCCTTGGGGACGGACAGAGAATTAGGGTCAATGGGCGTGGGCAGGAGGAGGAACCGCGTCGGTGTGTTCTCCTGGTCGTGGCGTGCATGGTGAGAAGGTCGGCGCCTGTTCAGCCTGGTTGCTTCTCTTGCATCTTTCCCCCTGTTCCCATTCCAAGCGGGGGTGTGTGTGTGTGTTTGGGGGGAGGCGGTGGCTGTTGCTGTGGGAGGCCCGCACGCAGAGGTGGGGCTGGAAGAGCACTCAGAGCCGGAGAGGACTTGTGCTGCCCTTCTGCTGAGACCCCTCCGCCCCCCAGCTCTCAGAGTCTCGATGCTGATTGGCTGATGGGGCGGTTCTTGACAGGCGAGACTCGGGTCCTTTTGTTC